TGGCAATCGGACAAACTTTGGGTCTTTGGTACAACATTTACAATAAATCGGACGAAAATATATATGGGAGCTATATCTAAATCTGAACCGATTTTCGGGAAACTTAACAGACATCATTCTAGACCTAATTTAAAACGCTGTGCGAAATTTCGTGCAAATCGAAAGATATATAGGGACTTTTGAGATCCATTTACATTAAATCGGACGAAAATATATATGGGATCTATATCTAAATCTGGACCGATTTTCAGGAAACTTAACACACATCATTCTAGACCTAATTATTTACGCTGTGCCAAATTTCGTGCAAATCGAAAGATATGAAGGGTCTTTTGTGCACCAATTACCTAAAATCGGACGAAAATATATATGGGTGCTATATCTAAATCTGAACCGCTCTTCACGAAACTTGGCACACGTCATTCCAGACTCAATCTAGTGCCCTATGCCAAATTTCGTGCAAATCGAAAGATATATAGGGACTTTTGAGCTCCATTTACCTTAAATCGGACGAAAATATATATGGGAGCTATATCTAAATCTGAACCGATTTTCACGAAACTTAACAGACATCATTCCAGACCTCATTCATAAAGCTGTGCGAAATTTCGTGCAAATCGAAAGATATATAGGGACTTTCGTACCCCATTTACCTTTAATCGGACAAAACTATATAGGTGAGGTATATCTAACCGATTTTCACGAAACTTGTCACACATCTTTCTGGGCTTAATTCAGTGCCCTATGCCAAATTTCGTGCAAATAGAAAGATATATATGGACTTTGGTGCAGCAATTACCTTAAATCGGACGAAAATATACATGGGAGCTATATATAAATCTGACCCGATTTTCTCGAAACTTGGCAACCGTCATTCAAGACTCAATTCAGAAACCTATTCCAAATTTCGAGCAAATCGAAAGATATATAGGGATTTTGGGGCACCATTTACATAAAATCGGACGAAAATATATATGGGAGCTATATCGAAATCTGAACCGATTTTCACGAAACTTACTACTCATCATTCTAGACTAAATGAGGTACGCTATGCAAAATTTTGTGCAAATCGAAAGATATATAGAGACTTTGGTGCCCCGTGTACCTTAAATCGGACGAAAATATATATGGGAGCTTTATCTAAATATGGACGGATTTTCACGAAACTTGGCACACGTCATTCTTGATCTAATTCAGTACTTCATGCCAAATTGCGTGCAAATCGAATGATATATAGGGACTTTGGTACCCGTTTACCTTAAATCGGACGAAAATATATATGGGAGCTATATATAAATCTGACCCGATTTTCTCGAAATTTGGCACACGTCGTTCTAGATTCAATTCAACATCCTATACCAAATTTCGTGCAAATCGAGTGATATATAGGGACTTTGGGGCATAATTTACATAAAATCGGACGAAAATATATATGAGAGCTATAACGATTTACGGGTTACTTAACACACATCATTCTGGATTTAATTCAGTATCCTATGCCAAATATCGTGCAAATCGAAAGATATATAGGGACCATTTACTTTAAATCGGGCGAAACTATATATGGGAGCTATATCTAAATCTGAACCGATTTTTCCCAATTTCAATAGAGTTCGTCCTTGGGCCAAATAAGTAAGCTGTGCCAAATTTCATCCAATTCGAATAAAAAATGCGACCTGTACTTTGTTTACAATTTAACATGGACAGACGGACAGAGGGGCGGACAGACGGACATGCGTAAATCGACTCAGAAAGTGATTCTATGCATATTCCCAAAAGGAACCATGTGTCTATCTTGTTTCCTTTTGCCTGTTATGTCATTGTGCATATGTTTGTATATGCACAATGACATAATACCCTGTACCACAGTGTGGTGATGGGTATAAAAATCCATGACTAATAGGTCTTTGAAAAAATTATATTTTAACCAGTGAGCGGAGCAATATAGTCGGACGGCGCCAACCATGCGATACCCTACACAACTACCACAGAACTATAACTTTCTGCGGATGTTTATTCCGAACCTGGGCAATATTTCGTGATAGTTGCACCCTCTTGCCCGATTAGAGGTCAACAACACCTCTTCTTACACTGAAATATTTTCCGAATATTACCGATATTCAGTACATCCCTTCTAATTACTTGTCCATACTCCCTTCACCATGGGTTGTGATGTTCGGCTTATAATTGTAGCCTATAGATCGAATCGAAAAAAAACACAAAAAATAAGTTTTCGGTTCACTTCATTCCAAAATTATTATCAGATCATCACCGAAAATTATAGACGTTGTCCTTGATCATCTGGAACCTCATGGAACATTTCAAAGGTCAACCACTCCTCTTTGATAGACCATCAACTTCGACATAGAGCCAGTCCTTCAGGAGTAAATATATAAACTATAGAATACACATTTTGTCATTTTTCACACAAATGTCAGGGTCCATTTGACCCGCTAAATATTGACCGATCTTTTTCAAACCACACATGCATATTCTTTGACCCAATCCGCTTCTCCATGTAAACATTCGAGATTTTTGGGCCATAATTGCGGCCTCTGGAGCGACCAGACAAAAAAAACCGACAAAAATTAAGTATTTGGTTCATTTCATCCCCCAAATATTACCCGATGTTTTCCAAAAACAATAGGGGTCTTCATTGGGCCGAACCCATCCGGCATGCAAAATTTTGTGAAGATTAGTACATAACTGTGACCTGCATCGTGTTTACAAAATATAATGGACATACGAACGGACGGTCACACATGCCTAGATCGGCTCAGCTAGTCGAGATATGACGATCGGTATGCTTAAAGGTGGGTCTAGGACCAATATTTCGCGGCGTTACAAACGCATGGGGCTGCACAAAGCTATAATATCCTGACAACATAGTTGTCAGGGTATAAAAATCCACGCCTAATATAGGTCTTTGAAAAAATTATTTTAAAAAATCCACGCCTAATATAGGTCTTTGAAAAAATTATTTTGAAAAATCCACGCCTAATATAGGTCTTTGAAAAAATTATTTTAAAAAATCCACGCCTAATATAGGTCTTTGAAAAAAATTATTTAAAAATTTGCACGCCTAATATAAGTCTTTGAAAAATTTATTTTGAAAAATCCACGCCTAATATAGGTCTTTGAAAAAATTATTTTGAAAAATCCACGCCTAATATAGGTCTTTGAAAAAAATATTTTAAAAGATCCACGCCTAATATAGGTCTTTGAAAACATGATTTTAAAAAATCCACGCCTAATATAGGTCTTTGAAAAAATTATTTTAAAAAATCCACGCTGCTTTTAGGTCTTTGAAAAAATTATTTTAAAAAATCCACGCCTAATATAGGTCTTTGAAAAAATTATTTTAAAAAATCCACGCCTAATATAGGTCTTTGAAAAAATTATTTTAAAAAATCCACGCCTAATATAGGTCGTTGAAAAAATTATTTTAAAAAATCCACGCCTAATATAGGTCTTTGAAAAAATTATTTTAAAAAATCCACGCCTAATATAGGTCTTTGAAAAAATTATTTTAAAAAATCCACGCCTAATATAGGTCTTTGAAAAAATTATTTTAAAAAATCCACGCCTAATATAGGTCTTTGAAAAAATTATTTTAAAAAATCCACGCCTAATATAGGTCTTTGAAAAAATTATTTTAAAAAATCCACGCCTAATATAGGTCTTTGAAAAAATTATTTTAAAAAATCCACGCCTAATATATGGTCTTGGAAAAAATTATTTTGAAAAATCCACGCTTCTTTTAGGTCTTTGAAAAAAAGTACTTTTAAAATCCACGTCTTGAATAGATCCTCAAAAAAATTTTTTTAAAAATCCAAGCTTTATGTATGTCCTCAAAAAAAATTTTTTTAAAATCCACGCTTTATGTATGTCCTCAAAAAATATTTAAAAAACCACGCCTTGTGTAGGTATTTGAAAAAATCCACGCCTTGTATAGTATTTTAGAAATCCCACGCCTTTTTTGTTGTTTGAAAAAATTATTTTGGAAATTCCAAGCCTTTTATTCTTGTCGTTTGAAAAAAATATTTTAATAATCCACGCCTTATATAGGTATTTAAAAAAATCCAGGCCTTGCATAAGACCATAAAAAAAAATTTTATTTTTTAATATTCCAATATTTTTCCACTTAAGTGTTCGTTTTGAAATCTAACTCCAAACTATTTTGAATATCATACGATTTGAAAAATCACAAGCTGATATGTTGCGCTTACACCATGAGTTCCTTAAAAAGTCACATTCATTATACGTCTGGTTGGCCGATCACAAAAAAACCTCCACAAACCACTACACTCACCCTGTGTGTGTAAACATAGCTCACATGTATACACCGACACTATCCGTGTGCCACTCTCTTGTATACGTATACGAAAAGCTTTTTTCAAATTTATTTCACTCTCGTTTTCATTATGAAAATTTATTCAAAAAGAGAGCAGCAGCAAGAAATTTTCTTTAAGTCAGAGACCAAAACCAAAAAAGCTTTTTTCTGTTGGCTAAGAAAAATATTAGCTTAAAACATGTTTTAAGCCAAAATGCTCTTTTTAAGGTTGCTGCTGTCAATATAAACTCTGTTGTTGTTTTTATTGTTATGAATAAAACTCTCAATAGTGAACAAACGAAAAAAAAGATTGGCTCGTTTCAAATCTATATTGGCGACACAAAAACAAAAAGCCACCACCTCAATTCTGCTCACAGAAATATGGACTAGAGCGTTATAATTGTGTGTATATTTATGCGTCTCGCTCTCCTCCCCTCCCTGCCTCCCCATCTCAGTGGCAATTCTGCAAAAACATTTTGAAAAAGAAAAAAAAAAACAAATACTGCAGAGATGCCTGAGATTTTCTATCAAGCGTTTTTTGAGCAGTGGTATATAAAGCTCCAGCGTACTGGACAAAATTATTCAGTTTACTGTTGTGGGTTCATCCAAATAGTAACCCTTAACATAACTAATTCGTTTTTTCATTTTTTAATTCACCAGAGGCTACAAAAAGTCCTTGCGAGTGAGAGTGTGTGTGCGGTGTTTTTTTAATCTTTTTTCCATTAAAAATAATTAAATAGAACCAAAATGAAATCTATGGTATGAATTCAAAGAAAATATTATGAAAATTAATAACCAAAATATAAACAATTTATAAACATTTATATGGAATATAAAAAAAATATGAATTAATATCTGTGTGAAGAACATTATTTACAAGCAATAGAGTGTGCTAAACAAAAGACTTAAGCAGCAAACATGATCTGTGGATAAACATTGCAGAAAAATCAATAGAACAAATAACGTTTTAAATAAAAGGACAAGCTGATAAATAATAAATTAAATTATTTATTAAAGAGCTGTGGATTAAAGGCTTAATTAATGGGATTAATGTGAGAAAATGATTGAAGAAATGGGAATTAGAAATAAAGTGATCACAAGCCAGTAACGATATGGGAATAATGTGTGAAATGTTCAGAAGCCTCTACATATTTGAAATTGCAATTTGCTATAAAAAAGCCAGCGTGTGAATATTTCTTTGTAATATAGTTGATTATTTTTTTCTATTTTAAATAAATATTCTAAAAATGAAATTTTTTCTTGAAGATTTTTAAAAATTAGTGACATTTCAATGAAGTTATTTGTCATATTCTTTGATTTTTTCAAATATTTAAACTTACTAATCATTTGGAGAATATTGAAAATGGAGAACCTTAATAATTAGTGTGTATTTCTTTCACGTTATTATTTGGGGAATTTTTGGAAAAAAAAATTTCTTACAAAATTGTAATTTAAACACTCCAAAAAAGTATTTTATAAAAAAATCTACAAATAATAACAAATTTTCAAATGAAATGAACAACGATTAATTTGGTGGGGAAATATAAGGAAGCAGGGAAAATTATTGTTTCGAATCTTTTCACTGATGCTCACCAGTTCCCTTGACATAACAATACCTTCCACAAAATAAATAAGCAAAAAAAATTCGATTGTGTTCATGAAAGGTACATAAAGAACTCAATAATAAGAAAAAAAAATAACAAAAAGTATTTTCATAATTTTCAGGCCGTGTTCAAGCACTTGCAATGGTTAATTGCTTATACATACTTATATCTGCTTAACCAGAATCCAAAAAACCAAACAAATTTTGGAAAATAACAATTTTGAGCCCCAAATATTATAAAAGACGTTCTATTCGGAAAAAATTAAGTCTCTTCAGATCAATAGGCCTGGTCACCAATGTATCTACTGGGAAAATATATTTAGGACAATTTTAAGGCTAACTGCAGAACATGAGTATCCGAACGTTGTTTATCTAAATATTAATGCCATACATACTTCATGTTGTGGCTTATTTTCCATAAGAACTAAAAGAAAAATAATAGCGACTATAATCAGAACAGAATTTTTAAAGTATAATTTTGTATACCATTAATCCGTAATTCCGTAATCATAGAACAATTTTCTGTTCACAGACTTAATACAACTATCCTAGATAGTATATGGACAAAATTTGACATCGCTACATCCAAGCATTCGGGAGATTCAGTACATTCTTTATGAAAAATAAAAGCCCAATATTAAGAAAACCAAATCCAAATCGACGAAAAAATCATTTCAAATTATTATCTTAGTCTATTTTACAAGAATCAAAAATAATTCTTAATGTACATTTCGAATACGAAGCGATTTAACCCTTTGAGCCCCGAATTTTTTTCTGTAATAATAGGACAATTTTCTATTCACAGATTTAATGCAACTATCCTAGATAGGATATGGACAAAATTTGACATCGCTACATCCTTGCATTCGGGAGATACAGTATATTCCTTTGGGAAAAATAAAAGCCCAATATGAAGAAAACCAGATGCAAAATCGACGGGAAAATCATTTTAAAATATATTCTCTATATTCTGCTTTACAAGAATCAAAAATAAATCTAATGGCAGAATTCGTACATTTCAAATTCTAAATCGCTTCGTATTTGAAATGTACGAATTTTGCCATAATTTGGACTGTATACACAAAGTGGTACTGTACACATTTTAGCCGCCTTCTCTATATTAAAAAGCTCATAACTTTAACAAAAATTTGAATTTTTCAGATTTTTCTTGTGATATATGTCGCCCATAATCAGATCATGAATGCATATATACAAGCTGTATAATATATATAAGCTCTTAATCATGTTGTTGTCTGTGGGCAACATTGGGCCATAAAGGGTTAAATAATTTGGACTGTATACACAAATTAGTACTGTACACATTTTTGCCCTCTTCTCCATATTAAAAAGTTCATAACTTTACCAAAAATTTGAATTTTTTTAGAGTTTTTCTTTTGAAATGTGTTATACATAATCAGGCCTTGATGTGTGCAATCCAAAGAATATATATCTACTAGCTACCTATTAAATATAAGCTCTAAAATATTTTGTTGGCTGTGGGCAACATTGGGCCATAAAGGGTTAAAATCAATAAAAAAAGAGCAAGTGATTTACTTTATATATTTTATAAAGTCCACACAATTGTTGATACATGAAAAATATTTTCATTAAAAAACTACGCATATTGGGGACCTTCAAAAATATATTTTTTACAATGGAAACCTCCAAATATAATCTTTAAAATAGCCATGCCTAATGGGGATCTATAAAAATATTCTAAAAAATACTGGGAAACTCCAAAAATATTCTTTAAAAATTATCGAATAGAATTTATTGAATCTTGAAAGTAATTTTATATAATGAAATTAGTTGTCATTATTTTTAAATAAAAAATGCGAGAATGTTTATTTTCTTTTTTATATATTTTATAAAACCACACCATTGGTGATACTTAAAAATATAATTTCCATTAAAACCTACGGCTATTGGGACCTAAAAACATTATTTAAAAAACATTCTTTATACAGCCACGCCTATTCGGGACCTCTGAAAATATTCTTTAAAAAATGGTTAAACTTTGTAAAAACTTGAGTAAAAAAATTCGAGATATATATATATATATATATATATATTTTTTTTTGTTCCTTTTTTATATATTTTATAAAATCCACTTGCACAAAATAATCAACTTCCAAAATAATGTTTAAGAAACTGGAAACTATCAAAAAAACCTAAAAATATCGAAAAAGTAGCAAATGTGGCACTTCTTATGTTAATTGAATCTTGGACTCGATTTACTACAGCAAAATAACTTAGCATAATTTTTGAATAAAGAATCGGAACTTTTTATATAACCCTAAATACAGCTACTATTCCCAGGTCTCAAATTTGTTGTCCCATTTCCAAAAACGATTTTTTGATACTGATTTTTTCCATATAAGAATATTTTATGTAATTACAATAGCCAAATAAACGACATACACCCTTTGCCTACATGTCAAGGCTGATAACAGCTGTCTTATGTCATTTTAAAAATTCAAGGTTTTTCCTTCCAAACAATTTTTATATATTATTTAACACTTCATTTAATGTCAATAAAGCATTGCCAAGTTTGGGCCAAAAGACAATTGAAGCCAAACCAAAATTGTTAAATCATAAAATGAAGATTGAAAAATAGTGAAATGAATTGTTGCATTAGTTAGCCAATAATTCAGTCATCCAAAGGAAACATAATCGACATGAAAACCACACACATGCAGACAAAAAAATTGCAATGAACTTGGCTTAAAGCCACCAGCAGCAGCACCACCACCAAAGCCAGCCCGCCAGTCGTCAATCATTTCGCATTAGCTGCGGCAATGCAATTCAAGCGCCAAATTGTGATCAAGAGCCGGTAAAACAATTGTGGCCAAAACAAAATAAAAAATTGAATACAAACCAAAACAGAGACGGAACAAAAACAAACCAAAACTCAAACCAAAAAATAATAACAAAATATTTGCCCACAGTGTGTTATAACTCAACCAAAATTAGAATCTCCTCCCAACAACATATTATATAATATTTAATGGTAACAATTTAATTATATTTTTGGTTATTAACCTAAAATAATTAAAAACACTTATGGCCATGTGGTACGTGCCATATATGTGACACACTTATGCTATTTTAAAAAAAAATTACACTTCCAGCTATTTGATTGCCTTTTATAGAACCCCAGCCCAGGTATTGCTGGGCAGTCATTTTTATGGTAGCCACAACGGAAGCATTTCTTGTTTGGGGGGTTGTTTTATCGTTTTTGGTTGTGGCACGTTTCTCTTTAAGGTCGTTTACTTTAAGGAAATTGCTCCAATTTTATCGTGCTCATGTATACAAAACTACAATAAATTATGTAATGAATGTTTGTTGTTGTTTTAGCTAATTCTTTGTTAAATGTTTGAATACAATTTTGGGTCGACAATTTAGGCCAAGGTATGTTGTTGACCCGAATGACAAAGGTGGTTTCAAGTAAATTCCGTAATTGTGGGTAATGAGAAAATGGGAGGTATTATGACAAATTTGTTGGTGGAAACAAATTTTTAATGGGGTGAGGGATACAAGTAGAAGCATGGAAAGAGAAGAAGATGAGAGTCTACTTTTTTATTTTTATAAAAAAAATAAGTAGATTCGCTTTAAAAAGGAACTACATATCCTTAAGACACCTTAGAAAAAATTTTGATTTTTTGAAGATATCCTTATCGTTAAGTTCAGCCTGACCGAACTTTTTATAACCTTCAGCATGCGCTGGGCATTCAAAATTTCTACGGGACCTTTATATGAAGTCTAAGTTATTGTCAATTGACAGCCAGTTGACTGCTTATTGGCGAGGAAATTAAATACCAAATTGCAGCCTCTCCGGTTGGATAACTGGCCTACGAACATCAACGTACCGAAAATGAAGTGAGACCTTTTTGTGGTGGCTAAATTGTAATCTTCTGGGAATACGCATTTTATTCACCAGGAAACTGGAATAAGAAATTACACCCATTTCTATACTTACTTACTTCACTTAGCTGGCGTATGACAGAAACGTTGTTCCATAAGCCGAGCTTATGCAACAACCAGGTCATTAAAATAGCAAAAGAAGGCGGGACCATTTCAAAATATAAGACTACATAGACAATTTTCCACATATATGTTTTTCGCCCTGCAAGAAAGCGAACAAACTTTTGAACTATACACCTCTCTGAAACTCTTAAAAAATATATATTTTTTAAAACCCACACATTGCTGAAGCTCTTCAAAAAATATAATATTCAACGCTTTATGAGACTATTAAAAATATATTTCTTAAATCCACCCCTTGCGAAGATTCTTAAAAAAATGGTCTTTAAAACGCACCACTTGCGAAGATTCTTAAAAAAATATTTTTTTGCAAATCCAGCCCTGCTGAGGTTTTTATATTCGCGCCTTCTGTAAAAACTTCAGAAGAAGAAGAAGAAAATTAGACAAAGTCCATATTTATATTGCGCTATGTGAAAACGTACTCACACATAGGCAATATTCTACAAAAATGTTTTCCATCCTCCAAGAACCCTGAATGCCAATTTACACTCACTTTGGCCGATAAAGACGCCTTAAATTTGGAAAATGGTGTAGGACCATGAACGATTTTTCTTTTGTGTAATCCCACACATAAAAAATGTATTTATTTAAATCATATCCTTATAGAAGCGCTTAAAAATATAAAAATACACTACTTGGCCCTCACAAAATATTCTTATTAAAAATTCACACCTTGTAGGGCTCTGAATAAAATTTAAATCCACTCTATATATATATATATATATATATGGGAGCTATATCTAAATTTGAACCGATTTTCAGGAAACTTAGCAAACATCACTCTAGACCTAATTCATTACGCTGTGCCAAATTTCGTGCAAATCGAAAGCTATATAGGGACTTTGATGCACCATTTATATTAAATTGGAGGAAAATATACATGGGAGCTATATCTAAATCTCAACCGATTTTCAGGAAACTTAACGCACATCATTTTGCACTTAATTAAGTACGCTATGCCGAATTTCGTGCAAATCGAAGGATATATAAGGACTTTGGTGCACTATTTACCTAAAATCGGACGAAACTATATATGGCAGCTATATCTAAATCTGAACCGATTTTCACGAAATTTAACACCCTAGACTTAATTTTGTACGCTATGCCAAATTTCGTGCAAATCGAAAGATATATAGGAACTTTGGTACACCATTTACCTTAAATGGGACGAAACTATATATGGGAGCTATATCTAAATCTAGAAAGATTTTCCAGAAACTTGGCAAACTTCACTCTAGGCTCAATTTAGTACGCTATGTCAAATATCGTGCAAATCGAAAGACATATAGTGACTTTGGTGCAGCATTCGGACGAAAATATATATGGGAGCTATATCTAAATCTGAACCGATTTTTCCCAATTTCAATAGGGTTCGTCCTTGGGCCAAACGAATGAGCTGTGCCAAATTTCATCCAATTCGGATCATAAATGCGACCTGTACCTTGTTTACAATTTAACATGGACAGACGGACGGACGTACTAAATCGACTTATTCTATGCATATTTTCAAAGGAACCATGGGTCTAACTCGTTTTCTTTTGCCTGTTACAAACATATGCACAAAGACATAATACCCTGTACCACAGTGTGGTGAAGGGTATAAAAATCCACTCCTCTTGTGAATATACCGGACGAAAATATATTGGGAGCTATATCTAAATCTGAACCGATTTTCAGGAAACTTAGCACACATCATTCTGGACTCAATTCAGTACGCTATGCCAAATTTGGTTCCAATCGGAAGATATATAGGGACTTTGATACACCATTTACATTAAATCGGTCGAACATATATATGGGAGTTATATCTAAATCTGAACTGATTTTTCCCAATTTCAATAGGGGCGGTCCTTGGGCCAAATAAGTGACCTATGCCAAATTTCATCCAAGTCGGATCTTAAATGAGACGTGTACTTTGTTTACAATTTAACATTCACAGACTGACGGACGGACATGCATAAATCGACTTAGAAAGTGATTCTATGCATATTCTCATAGGGAACCATGGGTCTATCTCGATTATTTTGCCTGTTACAATCATATCCACAAAGACATAATACCCTGTACCACAGTGTGGTGAAGGGTATAAAAAAGTCACGCCTCTTCCAGACTCTTGCAAAATATTTTTAATAATAAAAATCCACGACTATTCAAGATTCTTGAAAAGTATTAAAAAACCACGCCTTTTCTAGACCCATGAATAATATTTAAAAAAAAACACTGTTCTTCTAGGTCCTTAAAAATTATTTTTAAACCAGTGAGCGGAGCAGTATAGTCGGACGGGGCCGACCATATGATACCCTACACAACATCCACGGAAATGTAACTTTGTGTGGTTCTTTATTCTGAGCTTGGGCAATATTTCCCGATATTCGCAACCTCTTGGCCGACTAGACGTCAGCCAATATTACTAATATTCAGTAAAGCCTTTCTAATTACTTGCCCAGATTCCCTTCACCGTGGGTTGTGTTGTGATTTACGGCTTTCAATTGTGGCCTATAAATCGACTTGAGAAAACACAAAAAATAATGAGTATTCGGTCCACTTCATCCCAATATTATTATCTGATCATCACCGAAAATTATAGGAGTTGTCTTTGACCATACATGGATCCTCATGGAAAATTTCAGAGCGACCGGCGCTATATATCCGCCATCTAGTATGGTAATGGTTTACTAAATAATATATGAATACGTTAGCACCTGTAAATAGTTACATGTAACTCCTGCATCCGAGTACATACGACAATATAATTGCTATCAATTTAAAGGTCAACCACTTCTCTTGGATATACTATCAACTTCTCGGGCCTATGCCATTCAGGGGTAAATAAATACGCTATAGGATACGAATTTTATAATTTTTCACACAAAAGTCAGAGTGCATTTGACCCGCAAAATATTGACCGATCTTTATAAAAACAGACATGCTTATTCTTTGGCCCGATCCCCTTCTCCATGTAAAAATTCGTGATGTTCGGGCCATAATTGCGGCCTCTGGAGCGACCATCCATTTCACCCCCTAAATATTTACCGAGCTTTACCAAAAACAATGTCTAGATCGACTCTGCTAGTCGAGATATGACGATAGGTATTCTTAAAGGTCTGGGACCAATGTTGCGCGGCGTTACAAACTCTTGAGCCTGCACAAAGCTATAATACCTTGACAACATAGTTGTGTATGGTATAAAAATTCACTCCTCTTGTGAACATACTCTTTTAGTCTTTCAGATCCACAATATTTTTCCGATTTTATATAATTTCTACATATGTATGTGTGTTTGTATTTTCAAAATCACTAATCCTCTCCTCCTCTATTTTTTTCATTACAGCTTATTTTTGGGCTGCTAGCCCTTTGTGTCTTCGCCAGTGCCGAGGATGCCAAGCAGGCTGTTGAAGCAAAATCGATTGAACCAAAACCCGCCGCAACTGAAGCCAAAGCTTCGGTAAGCACAGTCGAAAAGAAACAGGAGAAACGTGGTATTCTCCATGGAGTTGGTCATGGATATGCTCCCGTTGGTTATGGACATTCTGGTGGTGGCCTCGTATTGGGTGGTCATGGTGGTGGTCTGTATGGAGGAGCTGCTCTGGCCTATGGTGGTGGTGGTGCAGTTTATGGTGGTGGTTTCGGTGGTACTGGTTTGGGTGGTGGTGCCATTCCCACAAATGTCCAAGTCAACACTGTGGTACGTAATGTTGCTGTACCCTATCAAGTGGAACGTCGTATTCCAGTGCCAGTGGAAAGAACTGTTACATATCCTGTAAAGGTCCCAGTACCCGCACCCTATCCCGTTGAAAAGACTGTTACCTATCCGGTTAAGGAAATTGTGAAAGTGCCTGTGCACATTCCTCAACCCTACCCCGTGGAAAAGACTGTCCATGTCCAAGTGCCAGTGCATGTTGATCGCCCCGTCCCAGTCAAGGTTCCCGTTCCAGCTCCTTATCCAGTAGAGAAAATTGTTCAGGTTCCAGTTAAGGTACCCGTTCCACAACCCTACCCTGTTGAGAAGATTGTCCAAGTCCCCGTTAAGGTACCCGTCCATGTACCCCAACCCTACCCAGTGGAGAAAGTTGTCCAGGTTCCATATAAGGTAGCTGTCGACCGTCCTTATCCCGTCCATGTTGAGAAACCATATCCAGTGCCAGTGGAGAAACCAGTACCATACCCAGTTGAGAAAAGGGTCCAGGTTAATGTCCAGGTTCCCGTTGACAATCCAGTGCCAGTACCTGTTGACCGTCCCGTAGCCGTGCCCGTTAAGGTTGGCGTACCCCAACCTTATCCAGTCGTCAAGGAAGTTCCTTATCCCGTCGAACGTCAAGTACCCTATCCCGTGAAGGTACCCGTTGAACGTCCCGTCCCCGTGCACATTGAACACAATGTACCCGTGACCGTGGAAAGACAAGTGCCCTACAAGGTGCCCGTACCCGTGCCCGTTCATTTGGAAAGCCACGTTGCGGGTGGTATTGCCATTGGAGGTCATGGTTATGGCGGTGGTTATGGCCATGGTTATGGTGGCGGCTATGGTCACGGACATGGCGGTTATCTCCACAAAAAATAGACAATTTCTACTCGTGAGGCATAGAAAAGCAGCAACCACAACAACAACAACAAAGATTTCATATTTGTAATGGAAGCACAAAGGGCTCCGCACATTTTAGAATCTAAAAAACGGGGCCCTGGAGTGTGAGCGCGAGTTTTTTATGAAAAATTTTTATTTTTAACTGTAAATCTAATTTTTTGTATATTTTTTTTTGTTTTTGTTTAGTTTTAGAGTGTGATAACGAGAGAAAAAAAACGAAAAAAATTGTTATTTAAAAAAAGATATCAAACGAATTCGAAAAGAAAAAAAAAACTGTTCCAAACAATTTTGCACAAAAAAAGATTTGTTGTGTCCTCGAAATATGGGAATAATTTCTTTGACCTTCTATGACAAAAAACTACGCTTTAAATTTTTTTTCATCACTGCCAACCAAAATGGATTGGGAATTTTTTTTGTTCTCGGGTCAAACTTGCCTTTTCCCATATTTCAATTGCATCCAGTCGAACACAATACTTGTTTGATTGTCTGGCCAGTTAACAAAATATGTTTGAAATAAAAAATTATTTACTTCTTTCTACATTTTTTTTTTTAATTTGTATATATTTAATGTATTTTGTAAATAAAATAAATAAAAACCCGACCAACAATGGACAATATAAAAAATAATAAAAATTTGGAACTACTTTCTTTATTTTTATAGGCCTGGATTTAGTAAAAAATATTTTTGAGCAGCTACTATAGGTTTGGATTTATTAAAAATAATTTATATGTCACTCGCTATAGGCTTTGATTTAATAAAAAATTAATAATATTTTTCAAGAGACAGTATAGACGTAAATTTAATACCAAAACATACCCATTCCTGCTTCCTTGTATTTGTTTTAGTATAGGAGAAGTTATCCCATGTCAATTTAAATTATATTTTAGGAACTTACCTGAAAAATTAGGTATTAAAAATAGAATAATAAAAAAACACTGAGCGGAGCAGTATAGTCGGACGGGGCCGACCATATGATACCCTACACAATTTCCAAAAAAAATCTAACTTTGTGTGGTTCTATATTCTGAGTCTGGTCAACATTTCGCGATATTTGCACCCTCTTGACTTACTAGATGTCAACAAATATTACTAATATTCAGTACAGTCCTTCTAATTACTTTTCCAGATTCCCTTCACCGTGGCTTGTGTTGTGATGTTCGGCTTTCAATTGTGGCCTATAGATCGACTCGAAAAAAAAAAACACACACACACACCAAAATTAAGTTTTCGGTCCAATTCATCCAAAATTATTATCGACTCAACTAGTCGAGATATGACGATCGGTATACTTAAAGGTGGGTCTAGGGCCAATATTTCGCGGTGTTACAAACTCTTTGGGCTGCACAAAGCTATAATACCCTGACAACATAGTTGTGTAGGGTATACAAATATCTTTACACACAGACGCCTTTAAATATTTACGTACTAGCATATGCCCGCTACTTCGTTAACGAATGTGGAAAGTATTTATTACAATTTTAGAACCATTTAATACTTATGTTCTCTTATGTAGTACGTATTTCCAAAAATTACCTCTATATCTCAACCCTACCCACCAATTTCTACCGCAACAGAAATTTAGCTCTATTTTAAATTTGGTATGTATTACCCTTGCATTACTGTAATGATTATTTTGAAAACAAATCCAATTTTTAAATATAGGTTCACCCAAGTCAAAATTTAGTAGCAGTTAATATAAATTTCCATAACTACCTACCTTAACAATCATAAGTACGAATTTCCAAAATTTCTCACATACCCCAATCGTAATTCCAAATTTCAGGATTCTTTGGGTTCACCTAAATCCAATTTGTATAAACTTTAGTACCGTTTAGCACACGTAAGTAAAAATTTCCATTACTACCTACATCATGCAATTCAATGGAAATCTTAGTACCCAATTTCAGGATTCCAGCTCTATCGGTTCACTCTTATTCCAATTTTACAAAATTTAGTGTTATTTAGTATACATTTCCAAAACTTCCTATATACCCCAATCCAACACCCCAACAGTGATATTAACTCCACATGTCAGGATTCCAATTTAGTACCCATACTTATGAATTTCTAAAACTACATCCATACCCCAATCCTACACTCCAACAGAAACCTTATTTCCAAATATCAAAGTTCCCAGCTCTATTGGTTCACCTAAAATTTAAATTGTACCAAATTTAGTACACATCAGTACGAATATCCAAATATTTCTACATAGCCCAATCCCACCCCGCCAACAATGATCCTAACTCCAAACTTGAGAATCCCAGCTCTATCGGTACACCCAAAATCAAAATTTTAACAAATATAGTTCCGTTTAGTACTTTTCGTACTCATAAGTACAAATATCCAAACCCACCTACATACCCAAAACCACCAATCCTATACTTCGACGGTAATATTAATTCATATTAGGATTCCAGCTCTATCCGTTCCTCCAAATTCAAATTGTACCAAATTTAGTACTAAACACTTCCAAAATCACCTCGAAATCACCAAAATCACCCTAATATCGACCCTACTTCTCAACCTTTATTCGCATTTCAAGTTTTAGCTCTACCCGTTCGCATGCTACGAAATTGTAACAAGCTTTGTACATTTTAATACTATTCGGATGCTTATAGTTCGAATTTCCAAAAACCCTTTCTTACATCTATCCTACACTTCATCAATGACCCTCAATCCAAATTTCAGAGTTCTAGCTCCATATATAGTACTTTACGTACCGTACGAATTTCTAAAAACCCAGGCTTATTTGACACCTCTAGACTACGAGTGACTGTCATCCAAAATTTCAAGATTCTAGCTCCAGCCGTTTCGTCAGGGCGTTGATGAATTGTTAGGCCAGCCAGTCAATCACTTTACTATTTTATTAGTATAGATAACTCCCACATCCGAGTGCCAACAACAATATAATTGGTATCAATTTAAAGATCAACCATTCCTCTTGGATATACTATCAACTTCTCGGGTCTATGTCCTTCAGGAGTAAATATATACGTCCCATAATACAAATTTTCATCAAAACTCTCATGCTTATTCTTTGGACAGAAATTTGATAGTATTCAGGTCATAATTGTGGCCTCTAAAAGCGACCAGAAAAACTGACAAAAATAAAGCTGTTGGTTCATTTCATCCCCTAAATATTAACGAATCATTACCAAAAACAATAGGGGTCTTCTATGGCCAGAATCTACATGCAAAATTTCGTGACGATTGCTCCATAACTGTGGCCTGTATCGTGTTTACAAATTATAATTGACGGACGGACAAACATACTCAACTGGTGGGAGGTATGAAAAATATAGTAACAAAATATAGTCATATAAATTATGACCTGTGTAGAAATAAACGTATCCTAAACTACCAGGATAAGTTTATTTCTAATATTTGATCCGCCACTGTATGGACCAATATTAAAAACTTTTCTGTGAATAGGTTATTGTCCTCTGATATCGGGCTATCATACCAAATTGAATTTATTTCGTTTGCAAATTTCTACTGAGGTTCTATCCAAAACATGGACCTTCCTTCAAGAACCATTTTTTCTCCCATAGGCTGGAAAATGAGTCGATGTCTTTTTTAATGGAAATCGAGGAAAGACCTCGACAAATAAATAAAAGTATAATAAAAACATTTAAAAAAGTGTCAGCCGGTATTGCCCTCAGACTATGATTTGAGGGTCAAATTTTTTCTGAAAATTAACTAGACTTTACACAATATATTAACTTTATCAAGCCTACATCAAGTCTAAATATAGGACCCATTGGTACTTTGGTACATTCTGGTACTTGCCCCACAATAGACAACAATACGTCTGTTAATAATATGTTCAAGGGGTAATATAGAATCGTAAGGGCCGACTATATGATACCCTTTACCACTTTGGCTTTATTCAAGAGATGTATCCTAACATACTTCGCATTTTTTAAGGATCATTGACATTAAATTGGACTAAAGTAAATATGTGATCTGTATCTATATGTGAACCGACTTGTGCCTACGATTAATAACCTGGTATATTTGTTCCATTTTATTCCCTTCACCATAGTATGGAGAGTATATTTAGTTTGTTGTTCCATTTATAACTCATCGAAATAATCATTTTCCGACCATTTAAAGTACATATATTCTTGATCAGCGCAAAATTCTATGACGATTTAAACGTGTCCATTTGTCTGTTGTAGTCATTCCAGCCTCTAAACGAATTGAGATAGATTGTCAAAATTTAGCATATAGTTGTCTTTTATCTGTAGGCAGGTCATGTTCGAAGATGAGCTATATCTGTCCACGTTTAGGAATAACCCCCATTTTCGATATTTTGGGGTTCTTGAGCGCGCTATTCAAGCGAATTCGCTGAAATTTGGTAATTGGTTCTTATTAATTACCAAATGCCTCCACTAAAAATTAGAAATATCGGGACACTGGGAGTTATATTTAAATTGGAAAGAATTTCATCCAAACTTACCACACGTTAATGCATACCCATTTTGATACGTTGCGCATAATGTTGTGTCAATCGGACATACTTTAACACTTGGATGCACCATTTGTCTAAATTTAAACCGATTTCAATAAAACTTGACACATTTAGGCTATACTAACTTTAGTACGTTATGCAAAAATTCGTGACAATCGGCCTAAATTTGGCTCTTTGGTGCACCATTGACTCAAAATCGGAAGAACATATTTATGGGAGCTATATGTAAATCTGAACCGATTTCATGGCATGTTATGCTATCCTAAATTTCGTGTCAATCGACTTACATTTGGCTCTTTAGAGCACCATTTGATTAAAATCGAACGAAACTATATATATAGGAACTATATCTTAATCTGCACCGATTAGAATAAAATTTGGAACACGTTAGACTATCGTAACTTCAGTAGGTTGTGCAACATTACCTAAATTTGACTCTTTGGTTCACCATTTACTAAAATCGCCTGCCTGTAAGGGCAGTGATCATTTGAAGGCAATTTTTAAGAGAGTATTTATACTCTTTCGAGTCGAGCTTAATGATCTAAGTTTTGCAATGAAAAGGAAA